CATAACCCGGAAGCTGTACACCTGCTCCCTCGGCCAATAAAGTGAGATGAGCGCCACAACCCCAGAGTTGGTAACGACTGGACCTAATGGTCAGGGGTCCCTTTACCTTTACCTTAGATTTTGCTGAGATCCGAAGGACAGTGTCACAGTTTTGCTGGTTGAAAGAATGTCTTTTAAATGACAAAGTGAAAGTAAACATGAACCAAATGCATCAAGAGCATCTCCTTGAGTGGGGATTTGAAGAAATGTCTTAATGATAAACAGTTGGGACCTGGAGTGCCCACAACAGATTTAAGGTTGCTTTAATGTACTTTAAATCTTTTGGTGGGCACTCCAAGTAAATTGTGAGCTTCTGGGTCTGCTGTATTTCAAGCATTAGCACTTTTAGGGACAAAAACGTTGTGAAAAGCCAACCTTTGCTCCCCATGCCATTCACTTCTTGAAAGTTCTAATGGGCTACACTTAGTCCAGCACAAGCAAGAATCCTTTCCATTGCAATTTAATGCATTTTCTTTCTTTCTTTCTTTCTTTCTTTCTTTCTTTCTTTCTTTCTTTCTTTCTTTCTTTCTTTCTTTCTTCTTTCTTTCTTTCTCTCTCTCCTCTCTCTCTCTCTCTTTCTCTCAGTGTATATTGCAATGCGGCAGAGGATAAAGAGGGAAAATCAGTGATGGTTGTTTTGCGAGGGCTTTTTGGAATATATTGCGTATTGAATTAGAAGACGGAAAAACATCTTGTAATGAATCTCGATGTTGCTCTTTCCCTCTGGATTCATATAAGTAGTGTTCAGTGAAGATCATATAATTATTCTTCACGGCATGACACTTTAAAGACCATGGTTTTTAATTTGAAAACCTTCCCCATCCCACAAAAATAATTGTGTCTGAAGTGAGGAGTAAAGCGCGTTTGGTTTTTCAGTAGGTGGCACTCTTAGCTGTAAATCAATACTGCATATCGGATGAGGTGCAAATCCAGTATATATTAATGTATGATCATTGATCCTATAATTTCTTCACATAGTCAGGTTCCTGGATGCTTTTGAGCAAACTAAAGCCTCTATGCATACCAATGTATTGGGAAAGATTTCTACCTGCAGCGCACAGAATTCCACTGACTTTTAAAGTGACTTGTGATCTGCTGATGAGAGGCTGTTTGCGGATGTTCAGACTCGGGTTTGGTGTTCTCCTTCACTTGCCAGCACAGGAGCTGCTGGGCTAGTGGAAAGGCAATAAAAGTGGTTGAGCAGTATGAACTCCAGTGCCACAGCTGAACTAGCAGAAGCTGGTTGTGCAACAGGAAGTATTAGGGCTAAAGCAATCTGTTGAGCAACCAGCCACATGAACTGTGATGGCTTCCTGCACTTTCTTTTGCAGAAGTCATTCCACAAGCACAGCTGGTATACTGCTAAAGGACATTAACTCGAATCCCAGTGTGGTGTAGTGGTTAAGAGCAGTGGACTCATAATCTGGTGAACCAGGTTCACGTCTCCACTCCTCCACATGCAGCTGCTGGGTGACCTGGGGCTGGTCACACTTCTCTGAAGTCTCTCAGCCTCACTCACCTCACAGAGTGTTTGTTGTGGGGGAGGAAGGGAAAGGAGATTGTTAGCTGCTTTGAGACTCCCTAGGGTAGTGATAAAACAGGATATCAAATCCAAACTCCTCCTCTTCTTCTTCCCTCCATTTATTTATTTATTTATTTATTTAGTGAATGTTTGGAGAAGGCACCACAGTTCATGTTCCAGGTTGAATAATCAATGTCTCTAGTTAAAAGGTTGCAGGTAACAGGGAAGACTCTCTTGGAACAATACTAGACTAGATGGACCATGTAGTTAGACGTGGCATGTGCCTCCCTAGAAGTGGCTGGACTTTCTCAATTGGCAAAGAAATATTCCGTGTACATATTTGATAAGAAAGATGAGGTCTTTTTGATAGGAAGAGCTTTCCATAGGTAGGAAGGCTAGTCTTACCTGTTCTTGCTCATTCTACTAGTTTTAAACATTCTGAATTTAAGAACTGCTCAGGTTAGAATGCAGAGAAAGAAAGAGAGAGAGAGAGAGCTGTGTTGCCTAATGCATGAGACTCTTGCCTCCTGTGGTTAATAAAGGAAAATAAGAAAATAAGAAGTTTGTACATTGTTAGGAAGCAAGCCAAACAGGACTCCTACTCATACAGCCCAGCCCAATGATTTCATACAGAATAATTTCAGAAAGCGAGGCCATGTTAGACTCTTGTGGCAAAAGACAGCCTGTTAGCATGCTATAGGCTTCTGCTGCAATGCTATGCAGGCTTGGGAGTAAGTTCTACTATTGTCAGTTTGGCTGGTGAGGGCATGAATATAGAGTGGAGACTTAGCTAGTTTATTGTGACGTGAATTTCCAGGGGAAGATGTCAGCCAGATTTCAAAAACAGATCGGCATCAAGGTGGGAACTGGGAAGTTGCTGTTTGTGTTGGCAAAATGTAAGTTCAAGTTTGGGACCATTGATTTAGAAATAGATAACAAGATTGCAGAATAGCTGTATGAATTCTTTGCATCTGTTTTCACTGTGGAAGTTGTGTCAGTTTCTCAACCAACTTCACATATGCAGTGTCTTGGTTCACACATAACACTAGCTACAAGTTGTTTCTTGGGTGATAAAACAAATCATGGCTTGTTTTCCCCTCAGAATTTTATTGTTTCCCAGCTGCCGTTGTCTCATGTCATTATAATTTGGCAAGCACCTGTGGTGTGATGGTGAAACAAACCATGGTTTGGGAAGAGTGCTGGGTTTACACGTGACACCAAGCCATAGATAAAACAAATCAAAGTTTGTCAGCCAGCAACATACTGGTTTCAGAACACATTTTGTTGGCAGGAAACAGACAATGAAGTTATGCTGCTGGGCAAGATCACAATTAAATGCAAGCAGAACTGAATTTCTCTCCCATCCCTTAGTAATGGTATTGCTGCTAGAATAGTGGTTGGTGGCTCTTTGTTTTTGTGGCAGATGAATGGTCTGGAGTATCCTTTTCCTTTGCTTCTGCATTCCCAAGAAAATTGACTGTTGGAGCCAAGGATTCTTCTTGGCAGGGAGAAAGAAAGCAAGTCTCTTGTAGCTTCTTCTTCTCTGGCTGATAGATGGAACCATGTTGGTTTCCCCTGTTCCATTCCATGATATTCTTCCTAGGAGTTCAATCATCCAGTGGTCTTTGGTCCCCTTGGCCAATGTCCAAAGTCAGAGTGTGCTTCCTTTCTGCTCTGCAATCCCAGAGAAACGTTGGCTGCATTCAGACTTCACATCATTCTGTTTTTTCTGATATTCCCTCACTTTGTGTGTTATGCAATCTTTCACACAATGAAGAAGCTACCTACAGAAATCTATCATAATCTAGAAGAACAGCCTTGTTCTTCTACCGCAGCAGGTAAACAGCCAACTTTCCTATAGCACTTGAAGAAAATAAAAGAAAACCCTTTATTGTAGCAATAGCTTTTTGTGGGCAAAAAACTCATTTTCTTTTAGGATGCAGTGATGCTAGAGGGCTTGAGGGGCAACACCCTAGCAGGAAGCTTATGTCTCTTGGGAAGGTGGGGGCAAATGTTTCTGAGGGGTGTTTCAGCCAAATAGAAAACAGTTTGTTTCTTTGAAGGAAGAGAGAGGATTTTTGGTAAATTCTGTCTCTGTAGGACAAGGAGCATAGGAAGCTGCCTCATTCTGAGTCAGAACATTGGTCCATCTAGTTCAGTATTGGCCACACTGACTGGTGGTGCCTTTTCAAAGTTCCGCACAGGGTACATTCCCAGCCTTACCTGATAATTCTGGGGATTGAGTCTGGCAGAAGCTCTACCACTAACCTACAGCCCTTCGCCTGAGTAAATTTCACAATGAGTAGGGCTGGGCGATATCAGCTTTTCCGCATCGCAGTGTAACACCAGCCAAACATCACAATACATTACAATGTGGAAAAGTGGATGGAGGAACAAGCTGCATCATCCCCAGCCCCACAGGGTGAAACTGCCTCAGCTCCCCTCATGGGGCCAGTGCATCTTGTTCCTCTCTCTGGGTGCTGGTGGCAGAGGGAGTCAGGCGCAGGCAAGCCCCACCTGTGATATACTGTGGAGTGAAGGTGCCATCACACTCTGGCCCTCAAACTAGTCCTGGGCGATGTATCAAAACGTTGCCCAGGCCCAACAATGAGTACAGAAGGATTTATTCATTGACAATATCCGCCACAAACATATTTATTCATTGTGTTTATATACTGACTTTCTGCCAAGGCACCCAAGGTGGCTTACGAATTTTTAAAGTCCTAAGATAACATGCAAACTTGGGAGGAGGCAGGGAAAGAAATAGACAGTTTGGCCAGAACACGCCTTGATGTTCTCTGTGCCTGCCTCCCTGACATGCTTCTTCCTCATCACAGGGCAGGTGGTTACCGTTGGCCTTCAACATATTAATAGGTCTGGTATCAACAGTTAGCGTTCCAGACCTCGTACTCTGTTTGGGACTACAGTGGTACCTCGGGTTACAGATGCTTCAGGTCGCAGGCTCTGCTAACCCAGAAATAGTACCTCGGGTTAAGAACTTTGCTTCAGGATGAGGACAGAAATCGTGCTCCAGTGGCGTGGAGGCAGTGGGAGGGCCCATTAGCTAAAGTGGTACCTCAGGTTAAGAACAGTTTCAGCTTAAGAACGGACCTCCAGAACGAATTAAGTTCTTAACCCGAGGTACCTCTGTAGTGGTGATGTTGACACTTGCCCTGTTCTTCACATGTGCTCTCCTCAATACCTTGAAATAACACCAGGTAAGGTGCCCCAGGCAACTGGGAGAAATTGAAAGGGTGGCTCTCAGCCACCCTTGCAGTAGGAAGTGATCCAGTGGCGCTTGGTGCAGAGCCACGATCCTACATGGATATAAATAAAACACCACTGCTGTTTGTGATGTAGATAGGGCAGGGGAAAAAGGTTTCTGGATGGCTAGTGCCAAGCTAATTTTTAACGCTCTCTTTTTGTATTGTGTTTTCAGAGACGGTGAGCTAAGTTTAAGTAGATCAATGGTCAATAGCTCTGATAAAATAAACCAAAAGAGTGGCTCTTCAATGTTCCAGCATTCCGTAGAAAGATGGAAAATCAATTCTTCCTTGGTACTGGAAATAAGGTGAGTACCTTAAATAACGCACAGAACTCATTTATACATTGTGGTAGCTTGTAACTGGGTATATGCAAGTGAGGACTGGCAAATCTGTCTTTCTTTACAGCTGTTGGTCTTTACCAATATGGAAGACAAAAGGTGTCTCTTTAATTTTGAACATTCCTTCAGTAAAAACTGAAACCTTTACTAAACTAAATTCTTCATGCAGAATAGGGTCTGTATAGTGGCATCCAGTAAGTTTGACTGGATTGGTTGCAGCATTTCAATGTGCTGCATAATAAAGCACAAAAAAGATATTAATGGCATACGGCTAATTAATATGTGCAAAGTTGCATTAAAAGAAATCTGCAGGAGGCCTCTAGTTTGATAGCTCTTGGAAGGCTTCGCCTGTGAATGATCCCACTGTTTCATCACTGTAAAAGCAAATGGCCAACAGTGATTCTGACAACTTGTATTTCAGTACACTTGACTGACTGATCTTTTCTTTTCTGATCTTACTAATATCATTGTACACACTTGGTTAAGAAAAAAGTATCAGCAAATCCCTTCTGTTAAAATAAAGTGTAGTTGCTTGCTTTTGAAGAGTTTGTGTCTCTGAGTCATACCTTTCGTTTTCCATTGCATCAGTCTAAAACCACAATGGCAGAACGGGGCTGGGGAGGGGGTTTCTATTTTCTTCTGTGAGAAGCAAAAGGGACATCTTTTAAAGTGAGAAGTGTTGGGGCTCACATCTGGCTGCAAGTCTCTTCCTGGATACATCCACACAGCAGTTTATTCCTTTCTCCTAATTTAATTTCCATGCTTGGTATGTGAGCTTTCGCATGGAAACCATTTCTGGAAATCTAATGAAATATAGTGGGAGTTTTGTTCTCATTTCCATGTTAATTTCTTCCAGAAAACAATTCCCTTGCAACCCCATTATTTGCAGGAAGAAAGTGACAAAATCTGGGGTGGTATATTGGCATATGGTTCTTTCCTGCTTAAAGCAGTATCATAGCACTTTAAATGTATGGTGTGAAGGTGGCTTTGGTTACTCCTACAGTAAACATGATCAGTTCTTAGTGGTGCAGATTATACCCTGGACAGGACTCAGGCCACCAGGCATTGTGCAGCCTGATGTTTTACTATGATCTTTCCCATTACTGGTTATTTTTAAGGGCAGTTAAGGACTGTTTTCTGCTGTGCTGGGAGCCTTCAATCCTTTTGCTCTGGGAAGGCTAGTGCGTGTATCTTTTAAAGGTGGTTCAGAGTCAGATTTCAAGCGTGTTTTGGTTATATCTTCATCTGGGATTGATAGTTCATGCAATACTAAAGACTAAGACTGTGGTTTTATTATGCTTTTGTATTTGTTGGAAGCCACCTAGAGTGGCTGGGGAACGCAGTCAGTTGAGGGGGTATGAAAAGAAGAAGAAGAAGAAGAAGAAGAAGAAGAAGAAGAAGAAGAAGAAGAAGAAGAAGAAAGTTCAGTTTTCTGGATGTAGATCTTTGTGTAGGCAAGACTGGACCATCCCCACCCAAGAGGGAAGTACTTGGAGAAAACTCAAAGTTTGCAAAAGTCCAAAAATACTTTACTCTCCCCTTACATTTCCTTATAGCATCCACCAAACAGATGAATAAGCAGAACTGAGCATGCTTATTGGTCATGGAATGTGGGGGCAGCAGGGTGGGATGGACTGTCCTACAAGAGGACATAGCTGTGTGTATGGAACCCCAAACTGGATCATTGCATACAGCAACCTTTTGTTTGTGGGTCCCACTTATCCTTTTAGTTTCAAAGCCAGTTTGAGTCAGTCATAGGATGGCTGTATCCCAGGAGAAGTTGCACATTTAAAGGCAGTAGGGGGCTGGCAATTCAAAGGACACAAGCCATGATTGCTGTCAGCAGATGTCTTTTAAATTCCTGCCATTATGGATTCATTTACCTCCTTTCAGCCTCCTTCATGCTCCTTCACACAAGAAGCAGTTTGCAAAAGTTCTGGAAAAGAAACCAGCCTGGGCTGAAAATGAAAATCCGTTATAGCAATCTGTTCATTTGGCATAATTTAACTTAATTGTAGAATTGAGATTCGATCATTGCTGGGTATTGATAGGTGTGAAATATCTTGACTAAAGCTGCGTGTCAGGCGTTCTCCTTTGTAGACATTGTGAACAGATGGCGTATCAGTAACCAGGCAGTCCAGATCAGTAGTGGCAGAAGCAGCATTGCCTCACGTTGTTGCACGACACCTATCACAGCATCTTGGACCTGACAAGTGACAGCTCACCTGGATGTTACAGCATAGTCACTACTCCTGCCACACTTAACAGTGATGGTGTGAGCACATCATGGTAAACCAAACTTAATGGTTTACTGTGCATGGCCTGATTGTGCATTCCTCACTGCTAGCACTGGTTTAGCATTTTGTCTGAACGAGAGGTTGTGATCATCATGGTAGATGAGCCAAAATCAACTCCCAGCTTTTCATTCTGGTATGTTGGGAGCAAAACATGCCCCATAGTTCGAAAGTAATGATAAGCCATGCATTGTGCTTTGTTTCCTCAATGTGATGTTGGAGAGAAGCAAGAGTCCAAATTCATTACCATTAAGCATGCTTTACTGTGATGTGTGAACTGCATGGCTCTGCAGCACCGTGTGATGGCTTGGGGTATGTGCAGACAGTCTCTCGGTTGAGACTATGGCCTGATGCACTTTCCCCTAATGGGTGCTATTACAATGGGGGCTGATTTCCATTGATTGGGGTTATAGGATTATGCCACTACGAGTCTCTGTCATGTGTTGGGCTGGAGTGAAGTTTTGCCTTCCATCTATAGAAGGTTTATCATCCAGTGGAGGGATCTTACTGGCTGGGAATGGGTGACTTTTGTTTATCTTTATTCCCCTGTCCCCATTAAAGGTTTCATGGAGATGAGGGAATCAGAAGCATTAGCCATCACTGGGACTAAATGCTTCATACAACCCAAATGTATAGTGTAAGCAGTTCTGTGGAGTGACCTCATACAGACAAAAAATAAATAAAAAGTAAACCATTAAGACCAGCTAACTGCCCAGGCTGCAAAGGTTGGATTCAAGTAAAAAAAAAAGAAAATAATTCACACATTTATTATTTGGGACCTATTCGTTCAGAGGAGGTGATTTCAATTGTTAGAAAAATGATCAATGAAGTGAAGGCTTTGTTTACAAAGGTGCCTCATAGGATAAATAAAATAATGTGGAGTTAGTTACAATAGTGGCCATTTGTCTTTTGGTAATCAATAACTCCTAGGAGAATCTAAACATAAATCTTCCATTTTCAATCCTCACAATAAATTAACTGCAACTCCAAAATACGGGAGCTTTCCTAAATGCATCCTCCGTAAAGCAGTTGTTGGGCCGTTTGTCTTCTTGGCAGTGTTATAGGGGTACGTACTAAACTTCTGATCTGCATAGCATACACCTTTAAAGAAGGAAATAATATGTTAAAACAAAAAGCCGATCAAGTTAAATGATGCATTTTTCATTTAATGAAAAGCATTACCTTAAATTGTTAAAAGTCACAAATTTCTTTCATTTGGATGCTGAAGACAGGACAGTTGGAATGCATTTCCCCTTAATTATTTACTTAATGTAGCCTCTTCATATAAACAGTCAAACTGAAACTGTAAGATCAAGAGCAACAACAAAAGATTACTTTCTGCACAACTTCCTTTTTCATTATAGTATGCAGGAGCTATATCTCTCTGTGTTTCAGAACATAATGTTATCCCCCATTCATGTTTGCATAGCAATGTGCAATTAGAAACAAAGGTAATTTAGGCTGCAATGTTGTGCACACTTTTTCTTGAACTTAATGGGGCTTGCTTCTGAGTAGTTACGCATCAGATTGCATTGCTAAGATCTCTGCAGTTTTGAGAAACTAACGTTTAATGGAGTACTTAGCTGTTTTACCCAAGACTGGCTGCACAGAAGCCGGTTAATCTGCAGCATTTCAGTAGAGAATGAAGGTCTTGTGTATGCATGTTTGTTGTATCTGAAGTTGAACAACAGCATGGTTGTTCTTGTTGAAATACTTTCAGAGGCTTTAGAACCAGCTTGGAGCTCTCCCCCCCCCCCCCAGGCAGAAACTTAGTGAGTTTCTTTTGACTTCTGGCTACAGAAGCTACTTTTAAGAAAACCAGATAGAGGCAAGACAGACAACTTCTAAAATATCTGCATACAGTCCATTTAGAAACTTTGTCAGCCCAGTTGAGATTTCTTTAGGCGGTAGGCGAAAACATTCCTCTTCAACCAGGCCTTTGCCTGATTAATATTCTACAGCCTTTTAAACGTGTCTGTGGGGAGGGGTGGTTATTGTTTTGCTGTTTTGCTTTACTTATTTTCATGTTTTTATCCTGTATTTTACTCTGTGAATAGTCCTCAGTAGACCTGCTGCATGTTGTTCCCTTTTACAGTGCAGGCATTTGCAGAGAGGGGTTTTTGCATGTCTCTGCGTAGCTGAATCCATAAAGGCTTCCATGTGATCTGGGACCATAAGTGAGTGAGTGCAGATGCACGTGCAACCCCTCCCTTTCTCCACAGTTGTTTGCATTTCATTTGCAAATGCCAGGGGAAGGCACTACAGTCGTACCTTGGAAGTCGAAAGGAATCCGTTCTGGAAGTCCGTTCAACTTTCAAAACATTCGGGCAGCTTCTGATTGGCTGCAGGAAGCTCCTGTAGCCAATCAGAAGCTGTGGAAGCCCCATCAGATGTTCGGCTTCCAAAAATAGTTTGCAAACCGTAACAGTCACTTCAGGGTTTGCAGTGTTTGGGAACCAAAACGTTCAAGAGCTAAGCTGTTTGAAAACCAAGGTACAAATGTACTTAGCAGTGTGGGGATACTCAGCACCTTCTGGTCATACCACTATAACTTCTATATGGGTGTCAAGTCCCAAATGCTAACCAGACAAGGGAATTAAACTTTACATCCCATGAGAGGTCTGGGTTGCAAGTCAATCAGGGTGTAAGGCTGCCTGCACTGTGGGTCTGGCT